TGCTGAGCAAGATGTAGGAATTTGATCTCCAAAGGAACTAAAATATGCAAATTTTCTGAGGACATCCACTTTTAGAGGCCCTCCCAGCCCTTTTTTGTTCTAGCAGGGTCACACAGGCTGGGAATGGAGAAAGGGAGAAGGTTCAGAAAGTGCTCGTTTCTCCAAGTCAAAGACGTCCTTCTGTCCCCACGGCCGTGTGTCCCTGCTGGTTTGCAGAGCTCTCCCTCCTCTCCTCCCACTCTGCAGCAGGGGGAAAGGTCTAAGACATGATCCAGTCCCCACCCCTGAGTAATTCTGGTTCCATATCCAGCTCCTTGCTTGGATCTGACCTCCTGCCTGGTGCCAAGCTGAGGAAATTGCCGGTGATTTGTGCAGGGTTGCGGTTTTACTCATGTAACAAATGCAGCAGACTGGACATACCCGGGCAGTGGGCTTGTCCCAGGCTGACTCAGAAAGCAGGAGATTTGTATCTGCACAACTACTGAAACCTGAGCTGGAGCAGGAGGTGTCAGCTGCAGCCCCTCTGCCCAAGTATTTCAGATTCTTGTCTTCTCAGATGATAATTGCAGATCACCCTCTGGTTTTCAGAGCCACTTCATGGCTTCAAGGATTTCTTCACTAAAGGTGAAGATGTGCAAACACACACAAAATAAATCAGGGTTACAATGATATGAAGGCTGCTGATGGAGTGGGACACCGAAACACCCTGGGAGTGTTATAATAGTTGCCAAATCATCAGTACAGAGCTGGGCAAACCAGGGTTACTCTCTTGTTTAGAAGGGATGTGGAGCATAAAGATGGGATGTGCATAAAACCATGTTTGGGGTACCCTGAGGTTACAGCACAGAAGAAAGCAATGATGAACTTTTAGAAAAACCTGTTCAGATCATTTCCCTACCTCAGAGCTGCCATGCCATCATCATGCACTAGGATGAGCACTAGACACTGGGCCAGTGCCTCCACACAGATGTTATCTGGGCATCCAGGAGGGTCTTGCTGTCATCAGTGTGTTCACAGGAGCCACTGATTTAAGCACAAAGCATTTCACGTGTAGCACAGGACATTTGCTGGCTTTTGGCTCCATGGAAAGCCTGGGCAGGATCCATTCCTCGTTGGTAAAATCACCTGGGATAAAGACAAGATCAAGGGGGAGTGTCTAGTCTTTTAAGGATTCAGCTTTTCAAAATGTCTTGATTTTTCGACTCATTGTCTGTTTTGCTTGGAAATCCCCATAAAATATTGCATTGCCCTCAAAGAATAAATCATACAAGTTTGGGGTGAATGTGCTATTCACAGAAAATAAGGGGTCTGGGCTGCAGAATTACCTGCAGAGTGGCAATCTCAGGTGCATGGTCATAGGCAAAGTCAGTGATGCCATTAATTTATGAGTAGAGATACCAGCTGCTGTTGCAAAAATAAATAGGGAACCAGAAGGAAAAAAAGCAAATCAAGGCTCAGAAGGGCAGAGAAATGAGGAATGCGGGGGAAAAAAGAATGGCTTTGGAGCTTCTGTTCACCAGGACTTATCTGGAGGTTTCCAACAGTTTGAGGCTGCTTCTGCAGGGCATTGCTAGGTCTTTAGCTGCCTTTTGCTGTCAAATCTCTGTGCCAGAGGAAATCTGCTCTCCTGTGCTGTCTGGCTGCATGTGTGGTCAGGATAACAAAGCTCTCTGTGGCTGGGGAATTTCTGAGTCAAGGCTTGGGCAAAGAGTGCAGGAAATAGGGATACAAGCTCAACAGCTCTCCTGACTCTGGAGCAGACAAGAAGGAACAATTCTCCTCTATATTCCTTTCTGTTCCACTTAGCCCTGCTGCATGGGGCATCTGCAGCCCAGGCATAGTTTGAATGAAGCAAGCTTTTCTGCCCAGGGAAGAGAAAGTCAGCCCTTCCATCAGTTCAGCATTGCCACGGGCTTCCAGTGATGGAGTGATATGTGTGCACAGCAAGAGAGTGGGGGGGCTCCAAGGGGTGGGAAGAGGAGGGATCTTTTTCTAGACAAGTCATTAAAAATGATTTCCATGGTGAATACCTTCCCCACAGCCTGGCTGCAGAGAGCATTCAGCGCAGAAACGGCACAAAACTGGATTTTCATTTTTGCTTTGCAGCTCACCTCTAAAGTGAAAGGGGACTTTTGTAGGGCTGAATGACTCTTCATGGACTTTGGTTCCTTCAGGCCTGCAGCACTCAGGTTGCAGTTTCAAGGGTGCAGAGCCTTTTAAGGGTACTCATGACATCAGCAGGAGTTTCCAGCCCCTGCACATGTACTCCCGAGAAAGTTTTTGTTCTCCTTTTGGTTGCAAAGGAGACTCTGAGGGGCAAGGTAGGGAGAACCTCATGCAACTCATGATGTGATGTCACCCTGACATTTACTGTACACCTACTCTTCCCCTATTGCTGCAAAAGGAAATAGAAAATGATTGAAAATGATCCTTATCAGTCCCAAAGTTTGACTCGCTGCTCTTTCGAGTCTCTCAAATAATAGTAAGAGTTGCACTGTGAGAATAAGCGAAGATGTGGTCAAAGATAAAAACACATGTACACACAAACACACACAGAGGTGCAGGAGAAGCAACTTCAACAATCACAGCCTGAGGTGGGCTGCTTTTAAGGTGAACAGAACAAAATTCTTTCTCACACAGCATATAATCAAACTGCACAGGTCATTGCCAAAGGATGTTGTGAATGCCAAAAATATATGTGCATTCCTGAAAGGGCATTGCTGAAAGGGCATTCCTGAAAGGGCAAGAACTCTTCCTGCAGGGTAGGTCTAGTAGCAGCAATTTAAATGCTGATGTCAAGAAATCCTGAATTTCAGGCTGCAAAGGTTGGCAAGACAAGGCAGTTTTTCTCCTGTGTGGAAGAATTAGTTTTTTTTCTCATTTTGTTACCAGTTGATGGCTGACAGAGGTCAGTCTGCTGAGCAGCTCCTGGCCTGCCCCAGCTTGGTTGCTCAGGATCAGCAATGCATTAGAAGGGGAAGTACAGGAAATGGGGGGAAATAATGAAACTTTCCCTTTGGAAGACCAGTGGAGTGGCTGAGTAGAAATAAAGCAGTTAAACAAGAAGTTGCTAATTTAATTATATATTCTATTTTATTTAACTAATATTAAAACACTCCATAGTGTTGCCAGGATCTCCACAGTATTTTTGGTGAGTTTCCTACAGATTTAATGTCAAGTATGCAAGTGGGACAGGGGTGGGTGTGCGGCAGGGGAGAGGAGTGAAATTTATTTCACAGAATCGCAGAATCATTTAGGTTGGAAAAGACCTTTAAGATCTTTGAGCCCGACCTTTAACTCAGCCCTGCCAAGTCCATCAATAAACCATGTCCCTAAGTGCCACATCCACAGATTTGTTAAATGTTCTGTCCCTGTTGTGTCTGGGCTTTACTCCAACTATGCTGGGGCACTGGCTGAGCATCCGCTTGTCTCCCTCTAGCACTGGCAGCTGTAGGATTGTGAGCAAGTCACCAAAGGGGTTGTGCTGTGACAGTGACCCCAGGGTCCGTGAGTCACCCCAGGGTCTGTGAGTCACTGCTAAGCAAATGAGGCCTGGCAGGCAAGCAGCTGGTGGCCTATCCTAGAGCCCGGCTGAATGTGAATGCTGCAGCATCCCGGTCCAGCCTGAGTGCTGCACTCTGCCTTGGACAGCAGGGCTGCAGTCGGGCTGGGACTATCAACAGTGAGCCAGCACCAGCCAAATTTTGCAGTTCTGAGGCTCAGGTTTGTGCATTGCTCAGCTCACACTCAGGCTTTGCACGTGGGCCGTCCCCTACACCGATGGGTGATGCTGCGCTGTCCCCGTCAGTGACACACAGCCTGTCAGGACTTTCCAGCTTCCTCTGCCAGGTGTGTTTACTGAGGTGTGTTCTGCAGGGAAAGAAGAGGGAATCTGAATATTTTCTGTCCTGAAGACAGCTATTTCCTTGTTTTTCTGCTCTCAGTCAGTGGAGTGTAACAGATGGATATCCCACTTGCACCACTGGAGATGAGTGCTAGGCAAGCAGGACAGAGAGCAACCTGATCTTCCGGACTAACAAAGCTGGGTGCACATCATCCCCCGGCTTGCACTAACTCAGGTGCAGCTCAGGGCTGTGTGTCCATGCTGGGTCACCTTCCAGCAGCAGCAGGAACTCCTTGCTGGGCTGCTCCTTCGGATATGGAAAGAGGAAGGAGTGGGAAAGCAAGGCAGATCACGAGAGCGGGGTGCTTAGCAGGGGAATTACTGCTCACATAGTCAAAGTTGTACCTAATTTCACCCTGCAAGGGTCTCAACTTACTGTTGTCAGCACGTGGCTGTACTCCAGGTATGGCACCAGCACAGTCACTGGCCAGGAGCTGGGGAACATCTGTGCTGGTTCCACGTCATCCATGAGCTTTCACAAAGATAAATTTGTTCTAGCTAGACTAGGCAAAATTGTTCATTTGATAATGCTGGAAGGTTGATGATAGTGTGGCCGCAACCTTTGTGTATCATTGTCGGGTTGAATCTATTTTCTGGGATCTTGACAGTTTTGGGGTTTTTTCCTTTTACAAAAAATAACTACCAAAAATCCCCCAGCCCCCCTCGACAAAAAATCCACTGTGGCCCTGTTAGGCATGCAGAGAACCTAGTGGAGAGTGACACAGATTTTCCAAACACCAGGCTCTGAAAAGGGAGAGCAGAGGAGATAGCAGTTTGTGCATGTGTGTTCCTATCCCTGTTTTTAAAGGGGCCAGCAAAATTTGTGTTCAGGCAAGCACCTCTCCTGCCTTTGCCTTCAGCAATCCTTGTGTGCCCGCTGGGTCACGATCCTGAGTGGGAGTGGAGTGTGATGTACAAGGCAATGCCCAAGGATGGCTCCCCTCAGTGCAGAGCTGAAGCTGTAGAACAGCTCAGTGGCTGATTGATGGGGGATGTGAGCAGTCAGAGCCAAAAGGGGTGAGCTTTGGGAACAGGTCCTGCCACAAGGCTGCACCACTCACTGACTCACTGGCTTTTGTTTGCCCCTCCCCAGCAGGCCAAGCAGTGGAGAAGAAAGTAGTCAAAAGCAAAGTGGGGGAAAAGGTCAGCCTGCCTTGTTGCCATGAAATCCCCAGCTCAGAAAGCCTCCACAAGTACCGGGTGTACTGGCAGAAGAACATCACAGACGTGGTGCTGGCCTACTCAGAGGGGAAGATGATCTCCCAGCACGAGCGGTACCAGAACCGGACAGAGATGGACCCCTGGAACCTCACGCTGTGGATCTCGCCCGTGGAGATCCTGGACAATGGCTCCTACCAGTGCGTGGTGCAGCGCAACTCAGTGCTGGCCTGCAGCGAGTCTGTCATCCTCTTTGTGACAGGTAGGTGCATTGCCTCCTGACACCTGACACCTCCTGGCACTCCAGTGCCAGCTTCTGGGGCTGAAGGATGCCTGTCCAAGCTTATTCATACTGTAGCAGATAGACTTTCATCAGGAAGCCTGAAAGAGTGTTAACTTGTTAAGTTACAGTAATGAAAGCTTGTTAACTGCTTCCATTTCAGCAGCCTCCCTTCTTACCTTTCTAAAGCTACCCCAGGTACAGAAATTTTATTCCCACCACCAACCCAACCTCCTCTCCTTGTCTTCCTCTTGTGAAAGGATCCCTCCTGGGGCCCTCCCCAGGTATCACTGGTGATGGGTGCCTGAGGCAGCTGTCTTTGAGTCAAAACTAAAACAAGCCCTTAGTCTTGCCCTTCTCTTTCACCTTGCCCAAGACCAAGCTGAAAGAGAAATAGGGTGGCCATGGCAGCATCCCAGCCCTGCATCCAGACCCCTGTGGAGCTAGCTGCACTGCAGCTCCACACCCTAAGGCCAAATTAATCACGGAGCTTTTTGAGGCTTTTTACATTAAAGAAACCGAGTTCCTTTGTTCAAAATGAATCTGAATCTTCTCTTAGATTGGTAGCCCACAAAAAGTTCCACTGACATTTTCCATTTCCACCGGCGTTTTTGTGGCAGTTTATCTCAACCAGAGATACTTGTGACATATTTAAATATATACTTGCATTTGAATACCTTTAACAGCAGAGAGTTACACTTCCAGATAAGTCAGGAGATTTTGTAACAAAAAAAAGACAAGCTCCAGGCCATTTCCTGCTGGTCTGAGGGCATATGTGCACAGAGACAAATTTAGTTATCTTTCTGGGAACTGGCATGAAAAAAGAGAAGTGTACTGCCAGCGCCCTTTTTTAACTATGAGGGTTGAGGAGTTAACTGCATAAAACCCATAAACCTACGGATCTCTTTTCCCGTCCACAAATACTCCAGTTTCTTTCCGGCCAGAAATCCCCTTGCTGTCTTAACAGGCCAGCTGAAATAATTATGGCAGACTTCTGCTCCCTTTGGTGAAGTGGGATCAAATTATTGTGGGGATCGGGAGAGGGAAATGCTGGAATCAGGCTGGGACATCTGAAGGGATTTTCCAGGCTGGATGGCAGTGGGCCTGGAAGGAAAACTCTCTCTTGCTTGCCACTGCTCAGTGTTGGGCACACGCAGTGTTGGGCAACTTTCTTTCACTAGTGACTGATTGCTTGGTATCCTAGACCATAGGCAGGAAAAACTTCCCATGGTGAATACCCTTCAGGTGGGGGGGTCTTTGCTTTGGCTGTGGGTTTGGGGGCTGCAAACCTCTCTGTGGCCTGAGAGAATGGTAACCAAACCATTTGGTTTTGGGGGCTGCAGAGCTCACTGTGGTGGCCTGAGAGAATGGTAACCAAAGCTCTCTTGCTGCAGCTGACTTCAGCAAGCCCAACATTACGGCAGAAGTGTCCGCTGACTCTTGCGAGTCGACTGAGATGGTGATAACCTGTTCTTCTCACGGAGGTTTCCCCAAGCCCAGAATCTCTGGAACCCTCAACAACATGTCCATGGAGTGGAATGCCAGCTGGGTGTCTGAGTCCAGCTTCAGCCCCTACAATGTCACTGGAAAACTGGCGCTCAACGTGACCAAGGATGTCAACATCACTTGCTCTCTTGAATACAGCGGCTTTGCCACGTCCTCCAGTTTGCTTCTGAGTATGTTTTATTCATGTTTTTGTAAAAAATGCATTTTGTTGAATCTGCTGAGTTGCCTCTCTGAGAATGCAGTAGATTTTGTGCAAGTGTTCATGCAAGGATCACCCAATGATCCCACCAGTGAACTACACACCAAAATATTTTAGAGGCTGGAAGATAGCCGGGGTGGGGAGGGAGAGTTACAACAGTGACTGACAAGCAGAGGCAGCTCTGTCTTCCTGCTGCTCTGCTACAGCTGGGCTGAGAGCTGATCCTGTTGTGACCTGGTAATGTCACATTTGGTGGCTCTCTGGGGCTGCCACCACCCCGTGCCCCTCCATATCAGCATGGTCTTGCTGCCAGCTCTGTGACACAGACCTGGTATTTGAACAGAGGGACCAGGGAAACGTGTGTGCTTTAGTAACCACAGGCTGCACTTTAAAAGAATTTCCTCATTTAACAAGCATGTTTGTCCCTGCTTCAGTGAAAGAAACTATCAGCTGGGGTCTAGACAAAATTCTGCTTTCAAATGTAACATAGGGTTAACTCATAGGAAAAGAATTCCATCACTGAGCATGGCTTAGAAGTGATGGCATAATAGATAAGTCTGTGCTTTGAAAAGCTTGAGGCACAAGTGGAAACAGCATGAGGGAAGGCAGCACACTACATTCCAGATGTTTTGCAGTAGAAGGGGATTTGCAAGAAAATTCGTAAAACCAAAAGGATTTTTTTTTCATGTTGTTACCAAAAAAAGTATTCTGAAATATCTCTGGGCCTGATGTTTTTACTGTGGAGATAAGGGCACCTTCAAGGGAAGATAGAGGAGCAGCATTTTTCCTAGGGAATTGTACCTTATTCATCAAGGTAGCTTATTCATCTATCGTACTAAAATCAAAGGGGCTTGTGGGGAGAGGTGCCATTCAGCTTCAGAACAAATGCCAGGAACTAATGCTTTATGAATATTGGCTATTGCTGGATGTAGAGCATAATGTCCCTAATGAAGGGAGAAGAATAAGGTTATGAATAGCTCACTACATAGAAACAGAGAGCAACAACAAAAAAGAAAAGCAGTAATCAGAGGAGGGTGCAGTGACACAGCCACAGCAGTCACAAACCTCCCACTTTTTGGCTTTTAGGATGTGGAACCACTCCTATTTTGGTGTAAATGGTCCTCCAAACAAACCTTTCCTGAACACTGAGTTACAGACAGAACAGAGCCTCTGGTAAATGTAGAAGGCAACCCCTGCAGAGTTGGAGGTTTGCATCCCCTCCTGAGGGGAGGGCTGAACAGCAGATCAGGCTAATTAATGTCTTAGGAGGGGAATGATGCTTACCTGTGCCAGAGCAGATGGTGCAAGAACTGAAGGTCTGTGCACACAGGTCTGCAGACCTATGGACTGGCAGCAAATCCTGTCCTATGCAAAAGTGGCCCAGTATCTGCTCAAAAATCCCAGTGGTAGAATGGGATTTTCCACCATCTCCATTGATGAAAAGTCAAGGGCTCCAGACACTGAACTCTGCCACAACACTGTTCCTGCCATGCAGAAAAAAGTATATTCTAGACTGTTAAATGCATTCTGCTTCACCTGTGAATCTAAAAGGAAAAAAAATTAGGCATAAATCTGCTGAAAACAGTAAGGAAAAGTGCAGAGTACCTTTGAGAGCAGAAATTTTCTAGCTGTGAACTCAGACTTTTTCACCAAGCCTAGCTAATTTCCCTGAAACAGCTCATGTGTCTAAATATTTCCTGTCTCAGTCCAATTCTGGACAAAGACCCAGCTTCTTATGTTCAGTAAATGTATTAAAAATTTCAGCCCATAGCAAATGTGAGTGAATGGAAGGAATTTAGGTGCCAGCTTTGTTTGCTTGTTTATTGAGTAAATCCATTTTCAGGCTGAATAGCTGAGTTAGAATTTGGCCAGAACCCCTGAAATTCACATACCTGCTCTTACATGAAAACTCCAATATCCGTTTATTTATGTTTTATTTCTCCTGTCTCAGAAAAAACAAACAACTGCGTGGTTCCTCCTGTGCCTCCACCTTATAATGTCATTACTGCTTCAATTATCATCGTTATCACCTTCATTCTGGCTATCACCCTGGCAGCAAGATACCTCCCAAGGCATGGTAAGTGCAGCTTCTTTTTCAGGAAGGTGTCTCTTAGTGCTGATGAAGTTTCTATGTAGGATACACATTTATAGAAACTTTACTGTCACACCAGGTATTTCTGTACCTTCTTCTCATTTTTCTTTTTTTTCCCCCTTTAGCATCCACTGTCACAAAATCTAAGACTAGCTCATGATTTTCCTACATTTTGTGTGCAGGAAACACTTGAGTTCAGGTTTGAGAGTGGAGGGGTGACAGGGAGTTTTGACAGCAGATCAAAATATTTTCAAAATCAGGGATAATGAAGAGGTTCATAAAGGTTCATTTTTATGTATTAAGATGCTTTAGGATGCCAAGAATCATGGTGATCATGATAGATACAACTGAGCACTGAGAGCTTCAAAACTGGATCTCTCTCCACACCTTACATCATCCCTCAGAAAGTCACTGAGCCAAAGCAGCAAAAATACCTAGTGTTAGGGCCACAGGAAAGACTTCAGCAGAGCAATGTCCCACCTTTATGGGAACACCAGCCAGGAGAGTTATATTTGTATTCTTTGTATGGCCAAAATTGGCACAGGTAAAGTGTCTGGTCCCATCTTGTGAAGTCTTCAGTAACTCCAGTCAAGTCTCCAAGAGGTTTTCAATAGCAAAGGGGACCTCAAATATCTCAGGGTTAGTGGACAGCTGAGTAATTTACTTTTTTATCTTCAGAAAAAATCCTATCTGTTAGCTGTTGCTCCTAATCATGTCTAAGCTGACCTTGCCAGAAAGTTCCTGAAGATGTGGGCAAGCATTTAATAGATTTATGAAGGCAGGTAGGATTGAAAGTCAACAGCAGTAGGTGCCTTACTACACACCCTGTGAGCAGCTCTGCAGAGCAGCCCTGGAGAATGACAGCAGGCCTTGAGGATAAATAACACCCAGCTGAGTTCTGGTCACAGGGGAGGCCACATCTGGAGACAAGAATCCCACACTGAGGGCTCTGTGCTCAGGCCACTTACACCACCTGGCCATGGTATTCCCCCTTGGAAAAGGTCCTTTTCTGGGCAGCAAGGGCTCAGCCCACTCACAGACACCTCAAAGTTTGCCCTGCTTGTCTATTCTGGTACCTCTATTTCAATTTCAGACAAATTCACTCCCAAGGCACATGTGTGGAGGTCTCATTACTATTTTTCTTTTCCCCTCCTCATCAACAACATCCCTTCCAAAACCCAACGTGACCATTGAGTCAAGCTGGGCTAATTTCCTTTTAGTGTTTTATCACAAAGAAAGGAAGTTTCTGGAAGGCTGTGACTCTGGGTCACACCTGTGCAGCTCCTCATTTTCCACCCCTGTGCCCTTATGACACCAGTGCAAGTTCTTCTCCCCTGCTGTTCCCTGGGGCTGTGTCAACAGGAAAGCAACAAGCAGGCTGAAACCAAGAAAATCACAGTTGATCACAGCCTGTGCTGTTAGCTGCATGTATAATGAACTTCTAATTATAGGAGAAAATGAACTGGAATCAGAAGATTTGGCTCTCAACAAATATAGGCTGGAAATTAAAAGGTTCCTTACCATTAAATTAGCAAGATCCTGGAGCACACTGAAATAGCCTTTAAAATAGGAACTGAGTTGCTTTTAAAGCAGATGTAAAAAGCATACCCATGTGGTAAAATGCAATCACCTGCAAACAGCATGGCACATGGCCAAATTAACTGGAATTTCCCTTTTAGTCCCACTTCCATAATATGCACAGGGAGTAGATTCGCTGAGTCAGGTGGTGCTATTTGGTTCAGCCAATTTCCAGACCAGGCATGGAAGAAACTGTAAAAGAAACTGTAAGAAGTGCAAGAAACTGAAGCCAGAGCTTCCATCCAGCTTCCCAGTTTGTGTAGTTGTCCCATTTCAGTGCTGCTGTGCATGGGCAGCTGTCAGGGAAGGGCAGTGACTGCCCTAAGATGCTGCCTGTGGGTGCTGCTGCAGGGCACCTCTCAAGAGCTCTCCTGGGAGCTCAGAATAGGTCTGAGAGTACCTCTGTTGTTCTGGGCTATGGAAAGCTGAGTCAGGAGTTGCTAAGAGTGGTTTCTGAGCTCGAAAAGCCATGCTTCAAAGAGCTGAAGTGTGGGAGGGAGGAATAGAAAGGCAGAGCAAAACAAAACGAAAAAGTTCTCACATACGTGATTGTTGTGGTAGCCAGAACAATCAGGTGCTTTGTTGAGGTTCACAACCTCCTACTCTGAGGAGCTCACAGCCTATTTTGCAGTAATTTAAAAATGAAAACGCAAAGAACCACGATTAGAGGTCACCTAAAGAATAGTTTATGATTCACATTGCGTAATTTGTGCTGGCACATTTGCACAAGATTCAACTTGAACTACTAAAATTCAGTCATAGATAGTGAGATATTAAGGGGATCTGCTTAATCTGAGATCCTCTTAAAGCACCGAAAGGGTTTGTTTAAGGGTTTTAACAGAGGCATTCTTTCAATCGATAGGTAAACTGCAGTTAGTGACATGTAACTTCCATCATTATTTCCCTTCTGACCTTATCTCAGCATGTAGCAACCTGGTGTTGTGCCCTGTGCTAACGAGAGCAGTTTTATCCCTATGACAGTATATAGATATTTATTTGTAACAGAGCTTTCTATCAGGACCATATTCATATACTAACAAGGGATCTTCTTTTTCAGTTTGTTCTCACTGTTGTAAGCACCAGGATTCGGTGGAAGAGGGTGTGAAAGAACACACAAAGGCACGCATGAGCTCTAAAGTGACAGCTGAAACATCATCTGTATGACCAGATAGCATTTGCAGGTAGTTTTCTTCACTCTCCTCTTGGCAAAACAGTTTCTCAAATACCATGACATGCTTGTGCAATGTGAGCTCAAACCAGCACGGGTCAGCCAGCTGTCAGATCTGCAGTGACATCCCCTGCCATTGCCCCTGTGCTCATTTTATGGGCCTCCCAACTAAACACTGGACAATCTTGTTGGGCTCACGTTGGGCTCATTTGTGAGTTAGTCATCCCTACCTCAGGTGCCACACGTGGCTTCACCCCCCAGAGGTTTTGGCTGATTCCCTGTGAGCCTGATCCGATGCCTCAACGTGGGAACATGACTGATGATAAAAATTGAGCATTGACCAAATGGTGGTAAGGGAGGGGGGAAAAAAAGAACAACTCCAGCTTTCCCAGTATGATCAGACACTCCTGTCCACTTCTGAGATGTGTCCATTCCCTTCAGCAGCTGGAGGAACAGAGAAGGAAAAGTTTCCTCCCTTAAGCTTGCCCATTAAACACTCATATTTTAAAATGAGTTACTTTTGATAATGGGGTGTTACAAAAGAAGGGCTGGGGAAGCCTGGCTTGCCAAGGTTTTATGATTACAAAGGATTATATTTGCTTTGGCTTGAGAGCTCAGCAGTTTGCAGGGCTGTGTCCTCCAAAAAGACACTTAAGTGAAGATTAGCAGCTAACTGTTCTTATTCACATCATTATCCAGGTGAGTGCATGTCCTGCTTTCACCACAGCTGCGGAATTGCCAGGGTAATGCCTGCAGAATTGCTAGGGTAATGCCCTAGAGCAACAGCTGTGGGGTCCTGGAAGTCACGACTTTGTCAAACTGTGCACTGCAGAATGTAAAAGTTTAATAGTTTGGAGATGGAAAGGAGGGGAAACTCTCATTCAGGCCACTTGTCTCATTTCCAAACCTGACCACCCACTCATGTTTTCCTCTGGGGAAGGCCCTGTCTGGAACAGATACTAGAGCCTTGGTTAGCATGAATTTTGGGGAGTTTTGTGATGGGAGTGGCAGGAGTTCACCTACAGAATAAAGCCATTCTCTTTTGCTATAAAAGTTTGCCAGGATTTTCCTGTCGGTGGCTGGTGCTTCCCGACTCCAGCTGTCTGTGGACTGGGATGGAAGCTGTGCTTCCTTGGTGGCTGACTGCCATGTCCTGCTGCTGCTTAAAGAGGGAAGCACGTTCACTAGTCATCCTCACTCTGTTCCCAAGGTTTTTGCAGGGAACGTGGGCCAGAACAGCTCCGAGTTTAGGGACCAGGAGCCCTCTTGTGGAGGACTCTGGCAGGTGATACCTGTTTGTCGGCTCCGCAGCATTACTGGGTTGAGGTGTGGAAAACAAAAAAAAATCAGTGACATCTTTTCCTCGCATTCCTCAGGTTCTTCACGCTGTGCATCCCGCACTGCAGACTCCACTGTTGGCTGTACAGCGCCGCTTGCTGCATTGGCTCTCTGCAGGGGGGTGGCAGCAGGAGAACTCTGCTCACCACGGCTGGAACACGACCTCCTGTGGACGATGCAAATCCTGCCCACGCCACCGAAGCCCTGCGGTGGCCTCGTTACAGGGAGGTCGCTGGCATTCCAGCTGAGAGGCGCCTCCGTGTTCCTGCAGCGGGCAGAAGGATGTCACCAGTGCCACACCAGGACTTCAGCAACCTCTGGCTGCTCTGTGACAACCTGTGACAATCAGGGACCTGCAGAGCCCTAGCAGGGAGCCCATGCCCACCTGCCCCTTCAGTAACACGGAGCTGCCCTTTGGGACACCCAAAATCCTGGCATGCAGTCTCTTCAGTTTGTGCCTCCACATTGCAAGTGGGAGCAGCCAAAACTTCTTTTATATTCAGCCTCACACAAGTATCTATCTGTTCTTCCTGCTGGAGGACTTTGGATTTGGACTCGACCATTACAGATACACATCCCTTCTCCCCTAAAGAGGAAATAGTGGACACGTTTTTCATTTAAAAAAGACACCTTGGAAGTGAGCCTACGTGCCCCATGCTTATTTGCAGCGCTATGAGACCTTTTAGGGAACGATACACACTGACAGCACTCCTAGGAGCTAATGAATATTGCTTACCCACTGCAGTGGCACAAGTTCTCATAACCTTTGTCTCCTGAAAGGACAGCCTTGCCAACCCAAGCACCAAGGTACAGCCACACCACCTGTGCACACGCACGGCCAAGCTTCCACGCGCATTCCTTCCTTCCCAGCCACACCTGCAAAGCCCCACTGGAGCCTGTGCGACAGCCAGAGGTGATCTCCTGTGTATCTGCTGTCATCAAATGTAACTCTGGCCTTGCTTCACAAACGTGGTCTGCCTCTGTGTGTACATCTGCCACGGGATACTTGTGAGGGAAAGCTCTGCAGATTGTTGGGAGTTTCTCACAGCAATGTGAGGAGATTTACTTTGCACTGAACATTGCTGCTTTCTGCCAGTGTTGTCTCTACCCAGCCAGGACTAGAAGGAATTTCCCTACAGGATGCTAACATTGAACAGGACTCATCTGATCCAGGTGACATTATTGCCTACTGTGTAGGAAAAAAATGGCTTCTCATTTTGAGGGAAAAGGAGGAAAATGCCCCAACCCCCAATAAGCTTCCCAAGCAACTCTGCCCTGAGTTTGACTGGAATGTTTTTTTCCCTTTTGCTCTGCAAGCTGTACCCATTCCCTCACTGTTCTATCCACGTTATCAGGGCAAACCAAAGTATGAAAGCACAGTGCCATCCTCTTTGTGGGATATGTTGTTACTTGAGCTGCTTATCTTCCTAGGACACAGCAAAGACATAGTCCATCCATTTCACTTTTTTTCTACCTGGTACATATTGAGAAACTGCTGGAGAAAATAGGAGGATTAAAAATGGTTTATAGGATACTGAGCTCTGAGATTAAGTAAAAAATAAGACCGTGCTCCCTTCCTACTCCTGCAGAGTCACGCTGTGCCATCACCTTTTTACTGCTTTCCCATTGTGTCACGTGTAATGGGAACTTCAGAACATTCTTACAGGAGTTTTAGACAGAGAAAAGGAGGTAAGCTGGGGGTTAAGAAAACAGTTGCACTTGTGTGTTCTGGTTGCAAACAGAACACAAGTGACAGAAATCAGGGTGTTTTCAAAAGGCAGCCTGACCTTATTGCAGGACTTGGTGCATGAGTGATGTGTCTCACATTGTGCAGGTTTCCTGTTTTTTCAGCCTGTGCTTGCTCCAGCACAAACCACCAGCTCCTTGCAGGCTGACCACCCTCTCTTGGCATGCAGTTCCAACTTTGCTGATTTCCAGCAGTGTTTTTCCCTATAACCACACTGCAGCTGCACCTTGCCAGTCACACCACAGCTCTGCCAATTGTTCCAGCATGTTTTCCCTCTCACTATCCCATGCTCTCTTCTTCTGCTCCTGACCAGTGATTGTGCAGCCTCCCGGAGAGGGGTTTGTCTTTTGCTCTGTGCCAACCCTTTCCACATCACCACACACTCCAGTAACACTTCCAGTAACTCCTTCTAAGGGAATCCAAAAATTTCACTGATAAATATGTCTAGCATCAGGTTATTTGGTTCATTTTTCACTAAGCACTAATGCTCTGGATCAGGTTTTCTATTGCCTTATGCTGTATTCAATGAGTTGCACACAAGTAATTTCTGTGAGACTTTCTCAGCTTCATATCTGTGTCATTGTAGCAAGTGAGCTGCTCTGTTTACCATGGATGTTTTGTATATAAGGTTTCCTGGGGTTCCTCCTTTAATTGTATTAAAAAATAAATTGTAAACTCAGTTTCCTTTCCTTAGTAATAAAAGATGTCTGTCTGTGCACTGGGTAGAACCTCGTTATTCATGTTAGCCACCATTTCACAGCATCCAGGTAGGTGATGCAGGTGTTGACAAAGCTGTACCAGGTACAGCTGGCATCAAGCCACAGCTCTGTCCAGTGTGCTGACAGCAATGACAAAATGACACTGAGGTAACCCAACTTGTGACTTCCACACCCCTCACACCTCTGTTTGCCAGGGGTTAGCTGAGCAGTGTAGCCACAGATCATCCTTCTCCCTCCAAACAGGAGGCTCCCTGCAAAAGCAAAACCCAGTATGAGGTGTTCTCACTGCACCTCTGCTCCTTGGGTTACCTAATCTGAAAGTGGAGGGTCAATAATTTCAGTGCTGTGCTTTTGCTGGGGGTGGAGGGAGTGGGGATGTGAAGAATCCTTTACAGGTGTGTAAGAAACAAACTCTGAACCAATTCTTCACACCCCATTCAGGAGTCTAAGAAATAAGGAAGTGCAGGGAGCTAAATTCAGCAAGAAACTGAGAAACAAATGGCTGCTAATCTTGAGTGTAGCTGGAAGTCTCTGCTTCCCCTTAAGAACATGTAGCAGCCCTCCCTTGCACAGAGAGAAAATTCACATAACTGCTACACCTTGGCTCAGCCTTCCCTCTCAAGGAAGAACATCCCTGCATCAATGGTCAGGCACAGGAAAATTAGTATTCTTTAGGCATCACATCAAATACCACCAAACAGGAATAGAGACAGAGCAATGACACAGCTAAATGTCATCAGAGCTGCTGTACAGATAAGAGTGTGGGATATTGGGTGGGGATGTAATAGCAAGAAGAAAGAAGATAAAAAAGAAGAAGATAAGACATCGCTGTGTGTGCACAATGGCAAAAATGTGACTTAGAAAGGGCTCTTTTCTTTTTTTGGGGGGGCAAAGGACAACACCATTACTGTCACCAACACATACAGCTTAAAACAGGAAGAAGGAAAGATATATCCATACCTCTGCAGATCCTTCATCTGCACATAGAAAAGGAAAATCAGAGCTGGCTGATGACAACCCTGAAATACACATGTTTCTTCAATGGAAAAATGAGCTACACTGGAGTGTTTAAAAAATTAAATGCTCACTTCAGGAGTCAGAAAACACAACACCTTCTTGAAAGCAAACTGTGCCAAAAATCTGCTTTGGGTGGGTGGAATACACTCTGTGGGATCAACTGTTCATATTTCAATCAGCACTAATTATCTGGAAAAGCATTCAACCAGAACAGATTCTTTTCTTATGAGAAGAACACCCGAAAATCCTGCCTGGATGTAATTCCTTTCAGCAGGAGAACAAAGAAAGGGAACAGGAATTCTGACCTCCCGCTTTGGGGGGACAGTGATGGGCCACCTCACCCTTCTGAGGAGAGACAATGTTCTGTAGAGGAACTGCAGCACCACCCACAGGTCACAGCTCTGACTGAACAGTTCATCTCTGGAACAAAATAACAGAGCTGGCACTCTCGTGGCTCTTGCCTTTGTTACTGCCTCGGTACAGGGATGTCTGGTGGGATCTCTGAGCTCTTCTCAAGGAATATCACTCAAGGATGCTTCTCTAGTACCAACACTGTACTGGAACACAGTAACAGCTGTACTGACATAAAGAGCTTATGGACACAGTCACCACTGCTGGATGGCTTTATTGAATCTCTTGAACTACATTTCTCTCAAAGTCACCCCCTGATTTCCAAATTGCAAATTAAATTAGAGGCCTTCTTGTTGTTAAAGCTGTCCACAGTGCCAAGGCTTCCACTGTCACCACGAGAAATAAGTCATGTTTTCTGTGGCACCCTCAGGCTTCTATTGAGGAACCCAAAATAGAATGCCTCTTTCAGGGTATTTTCATGTAATTCCCAGCTCCTCCACCCTTCTTCCATACTGACTGCAAAATCCCAAGTCCAAGTAAGAAACCACCATCAGCAAGTTGTTCAGGCACTGTCTGAAGAGCAGCTTTTACCAGAGCATAATTAACTTTTGGATTCAGGGCACCTTTAGCACACAAACCATTCACAGGTTCCTTTACCTCGAGGATTTCTACATCACTGGTGCTTTGGATATTTTCAGCAGTGAAATGGGTTCTAGATGAGACTCTGGAACCCTCACTTCCTCCCAAAGCTACATGACACTTTCTGGTCTGTAAAGTCTGTATTTCCACTTCTCAGGTGGAACAGGTTTGGCCCTTGCAAGCTCTTTGTGCAGTGATATCCATCCCTGAACAATGTTTTCAGCAAAACACCTTTTCACAGGATACAACTGCATCCACAAACAACTTCCATGATCCTCTGACTGAAGGATCAAGCAGGACCAAAATGCTATGTAGCTTCTTACAACAGAGATCTGGGGAAGACTCAGTAGCTCTTCAGTTCTCTTGTTCTCTCCATCTCTGGTCTTCCCTGGGCATTGCTTTCTGTTTGGCCTAAGATTTCAGTCATACTGAGTCTGGATTGCCTAAGGAGAGAAGAGAGAGTGCAAAGCAATTTTATCCCTGTATCCTCCTGACAGAGACATGACTGCAGAATCCAAGCTCTAGAAAATTTTCTTCTAGAACTAGTCAGTAAGTTTCAGTAATTCACATGACCAGTGTCATGGCCTTTTTTTCCCCCAAGCCTCCAGCTATCCTCC